GGGTGGATGACTGGGGAAGGAGAATTCACTCCCACCAGTGTCTGTAGTCCCTGGGGACAGGGAGCCTATCAGCACATGGGGAAGGCACCAATGCTCAGCCCAAAGAGCCTCCGAGCCACAAACCTGCTCAGTCTTCTCCCAGCCTGCAGGTGGGTGGCTCATTATTTATGAGGAGTTGGGTCGGGGGGGGTTATTGGGAATTTCCATTTCACTCACAGGGTTATTTTTTGGGCTCTGCTGCCTTTTATGAAGCCACATCTTCACTGTGGATCATCAGCACCTTGAAGTGCTTATGCCTGAGGTACCTGTTTGTATCGAAAATGCCACGACAGCTGAGGAAACTAATTCAGACAGTGTTTCTTCTGCTTTGCTTTCGTGTGTCACCTTTTTTTTCTTCAGAGGTGCAGCTTTCTGCTACTGTAAACAACCTCAAAAGCTGAGACACATGAAACAAATGGTGGGGTTTTTTTTCTCCAGCGTTTTCAATTGATTACTGGAATTTTTTAAGGAATGCAAAATATCACCGTGGTAATTAAAAAATGTAACTTCAGAGTGTTAAGAGGTGGATTGAAACCTTTGCATGCAGTTAGTTCACATGAGAAACAACTTTGGAAAACAACAGCAAAAAATCCCTAGCTCACTTCACCCTCCAAAGCTGGGCACTGAAGCAAAAGCAAACAGCAACAGTGGTAAAGGAGAGAAAACCATATACCAAACCCTTTTTCTCAACCCAAGAGCATCCTTAAAACCAAAAAAAACCAAACCCAGCATCATTTAACCAGCTGGCTTAAACAGCAGCACTTTAAAAGGATATAAGAAACAAACTCATTAAGCTGGAAGACATTTTCCATTCCAAAATTACTACTAAAAATAACTGTTCACTTGAACTCTGCCCCTCCACTAGGCTGTGGCCACTCGCCTGCTTTTACATTCACTTGGGCAGTGGGTTGGAAACCTGAATTCCTGCTCTTTCTCCCCAGACCCCTTTTGCTCCCAAGAGATGGTCCAAGAGCCGGGATGGCTCCAGCTCCAGGGGGTGCAGAGGGAATGCACAGCCATGGCAGGGGATTGGGCACAACTCAGTGAGAGACTGCTGTTAGTGCAGCAGCTGAGCTCCAAGTTAGAACAGGGGGAATCTTCAGTCCCTCTGGACTAAGTGATGTATCTGAGCAGCTCCTTGGAGACATGGGAAGGTCTCCAGCCTGTGGACTAGAGATGCTGCAAGTCCAACCCCTCCCAGGTTAAACCCCTCAGCTCGACGGCAGCGCAAGAGAGAGGGGGAACACCAACCCACAAACACAGGAGAAGAGGAAGAATTAACATGAAGTTTAATGAAGCCTTGAAGTCAGAGATCAGGTGTGCAGCTGGACAGATGTCCTGGATGCTCAGAGCATGGCTGGTGGAGACAAGCTGAGACCACGCCATACCAGGGCCACGCTGTTACAGTACCTGCACCCGGATTTAGGAACAATCCCAGGGGTCAGCTACGCAGCGGAGACGCATCAGCACCCATTTTACCCAGCTGGCACCAAACCCGCCGCCAGTGCTCCCACTGCTCCCAGCCCTCAGCGTGGCACGTGGGGTTCCCGCTCGCAGAGCCCCTGGCCCAGCAGGTCCTGCGGAGCCAGTCTGGCTCGCCCGGGAGCCGCTCGCGTCCGGGGGCAGCGCCGGGGGGGAAGCAGCGGGGCCGGGCTGGGCCGGTTCCCAACGCTCTGCTCCCTGCAAGCCGTCCAAGGGCAGCCGGCGGGAGCATGAGAAAGGGCTCCTCGCTGGTATTTCCTGCCAGCCGGGCGAGCCGGCGGCGCTGCCAGCAACGGAGGGGCCGGGACCTCCTCACACGACACAGCGCCGAGCTGCAACGGCGTTGGCGGCCTCCGATGACTCCCTTCACCTCCGATGTTAACCTGCTTCACCTTCATCCCAAGACCCCTCGGTGTTTACTCCCTCCCCTGCCTCCCTAACTCCAAGGCAGCCTCCACTTTTTTCCCCTCTGAAATCCAAGGCTGCTGATCCACGGACACCTCAGACCCTAATGAGTAACAGATCAAGCAGGGAGAGTTCTGCTTCTGGATACAAACAGCCACCCCCACAATAATAATAATAATAATCCCCGCATTAGTCAAGATCCCTGATGGTAATCTTAATTTTGTTGACTATCCGGTATTTAGTGGGAGACAGAGTATAAAAACCAAAGCCTCACACAGCTGGCAGTAATTCATAGGGGAAAAATGTTCCCAGTTGCTTATTTATTATAGCTGCAATATCTCAGAGCCGTGAGGCTCATTCACCATGAACCATCCTGTATGTTTCTAACAGGGAACAGCAAGAAGAGATGCACACAACAGGAAGTAATCTTCTGCTTCTGGAGACTTTCACCCCTTTAAGCCAAGGCTTGTAGCCCTGAAGCCATCCCTGTCCTCCCAGCATTACCCCACAGCCCTCACCTGCCTCTCACCTCCCTGGTGCTGCTTCTTCTACCCTGGCCTAGCACAAGGTTCATCCCTCCAGGTCTGCTCTTGGCATGTTCATCTAGAGACCCCCCAGCTGTCAGGTTCAAATCCTTCCATACCTTCATCACCTGCCCAAGAGGTCCTGTTGATTTTACTTCTCTAATCCAACTTCTCAACTGACTAAGAGCTCCTTTTTGGGTACGACTGTGACTCTCATCCCTCTTCTTCCCAGCATCCCCACCACAGCTCTGCCTCTCACCACAGCTACAGTACTCACTTTAAGGGTTTTTACTGTACTTCCACAACATCCAAGTACCTTTGGGCTACAAGAGAGATACTTCCCAGCAGGAATCTGCTATGCCTTTACACAGCTATAAATTAGGTCTCCAGAGCAAGATATTTTATAGGGAAATGAGGCCCATTATCCTGGCTCTGTTACTTAAAAGATACAACAGTTTATGCTAGAGGATAGAAAGCCAGCTATGTTGTATTTAGGCAAAATGAATTAGCAATGCAGGATTCAGCCCAAAACTCTTCCCCAGAATGGAGGTGGGATGCAACAGGACTGGTGTAAGGACAAGGACAATGTTCCTGGCTGGCAAAGTGGCTGAGCAGCAGCAGTGAGCTGGGATGGCTGCAATGGGAAGAGATTTTTATTTTTTTTTATGACAAATCATGTGGATATCACACTTGAAACTCAAGAGTTTCACTCAAAAACTCAAAGCCCAAAGAGTTTCACTCAAAACCAAAGCTCAGCGAGATCCAATTTCTGACTTTCAGCTCCAGGCCAACACTTGGACATCTCCATGAGGCACTGAATTTTTAGGTTTATAACAAGACAGAGCTCTATTTGGGGACCAGAGGAGTTATTCTAGCTTTCCCTACATGTGGATTATGCCCCAAACATCTACTGTCTGCCAAATCACCAGCTTCCTGCCCTTCTCCAACGCTGTCCTCACCAGATCAGCCAGCACCGCCTGAGTGCACTTGTGGAGTTACCAAGATCCCATCTGTCACACTTTTAAATAACTGTCTGATCGTTATGAATTCATTTGCTATTCATTGTGATAATGTTAATCAAGATGAATTAATAGAGTCCTCCTACTGTACGCGCTCCCTGGGGAATTCCACCACCATTTAGAAATTAATTAATGGACCTGTAATTTGAGCGGTGCTGCCCATGCAATCACCGCTAACGGCAGGCACGGAGCAGGTACCTGCTCACAGGATGTCACTGCAGGCTGCAGTTACAGCATTCCTGCTGGTTTTCCCGACCCTACGGACCTTGGCTCATGTTCTGGGGGCTGAAGGAAGGCTCTGGAGGCAATGTCAGGGGAATGGAATGCACCACATTTCTCCCCTGAGAAGCAAGTGCTGCTGCTGAACACACAGGAGACTTCTTGGTTTCTTTTTAGTCACCTGAGTCTCCCAGGGCTCAAGTGTTGGATCAGATTTTCCTCGTTCTGCTGCACATCTCCCATTGGATCCAGTGCTCCCCACACCTCTGCCCCTCTGCACAGCATCCAGGGCAATGCCAGCCCTCTCCACGCCTGCACTGTCCCACTCATCCTCACAGGCGCTCTCCAAATGCCTCAATCTCTCAATTCAAGATCAGAGGTCCGGTGGGGCAGGAAGATTCGTTCTGAGCACCGAAGGGTTAAGCTCAGCAGGACCAAGGAGGTCCCCTGGGTGCCCTGACAATCCCCCCACACCTCCAGCACAGACAGCTTTGACATCTGATGACTCTGCACGTCGTGGGGCCTTAGGTAACCCCATAAATCCAGCCTGGCAGGGTCTGCCCAACACTCAGTGCAGCTCCAGCACTGCCCCATTTAATCAGTGCTCCAGACAGGACTAAGTGCTCTTCAAAGGGACCCAGGCTGGAGCTCTGCTGGCCACAGGGATGGTTTTATCAGCCTGTCAGGGAGGCAAGTGTGGCTCTGAAGATGTAAGGGGAGAAGGCAGCACAGAACTGGGGTCATTTTCACGTCACGTCTGGTAAAAGCCTGTTCTGCCAGCAGATTAGAACAGACAGAGTCAGCATTTAAAAAGAGCACTTAAAAGGGGCACTGCCATGGAGGTTTAGATGCTAAATTTAAGTTCCAGTGAAGGGAGAGCTATTTTTCATGAGACTGAATTTCTTTCTTCTTCCCCATGAGAAAAAAATCAGATACTGGACTGGGTGGTGAAACCCCAGCTCAGGCTGCCCAGAGAAGCTGTGGCTGCCCCATCCCTGCAAATGTCCAAGACCGGGTTGGACGGGCCTTGGAGCAACCAAGGTGGTGCTGCCCATGGCCCAGCCATCACCAGGCACCGCCCTGGGACTCAGCGCTGCTCTGGAGCCCACGGGAGGCCCTGGCTGTGGCACTAAAGCAAAATATAAACGCTAAAGCAAAATATAAACGAGACACACTCACTCCTGTCACCCTGGCAAGGTGACGCTGCCCCTGCTGCCCATCGTGACGCCACAGGCAGGAGCCTGACGGAGCCTCCCATGGAAGGAAACACTCCTGCAGCACCCACGGGTGCTGAGGCCAGGCCAGGCCTTACCTTCTCTCTTCATGCCCATGGCCAGACACTTCTGGTAGCGGCAGTACTGGCAGCGGTTGCGCTGGCGCTTGTCGATCAAACAGTCCTTGTTGTCGCGGCAGGTGTAGGTGAGGTCCTTCCGCACCGTGCGCTTGAAGAAGCCTTTGCAGCCCTCGCAGCTGTAAACCCCGTAATGTTTTCCTGTGGGGGATGAGACTCGGGTTAGAAGTGTCTCCTCCTCACCCCCCTTCCCGGGGCCTGTCTCCCAGCGGGATCTGGGGGGGAGCAAAGGTTTCCTGGAGCCGTGAGCAGGAGCTGAAGAGCAGTGGCTTCGCCCTGACCTGACTTCCATAAAATCAGGATGCCCTCCGTGGGCTACAACCTGCCTCTCCTGCAGGAAAAGCCCTCGGCATTTCTCAGGCACACATCAGGGGAGAGGCAGTGCAGCAGTGAAACAGAGGGTCCCCTCTGTGCCCCCTCTGAAGTCCCCATGCCAGGCACACGACGCAGCCTGCTCTGGACCATGCACCCACCCTTCAAAGTCCTGGGCTTTGGGCTGGCAGTGGAAGGTGGGTGCATGGTACAGCCACAGGAGGGGTCCCTAAGGACTCACAAACTAGGTGACCAGATCTCTTCTGGAGCAGAGAGCTTTTAGAACATTGTGAGAATAAAGGAAATTAGCACATCTTTATCTCCCAGGAGTGGAGAGACTCCGTGTCAAGCTCGTCTTTTTATCTGGCACTGTGTGACAGTACCACTGTGGATCAAAGGATGGGGAGAAGGAGGGACACTCACTGATGCCTTGTTTTCAGATGGGCTGAGGGTATGTGACCCCACTGCTAAACAGGGAGCTGGGGTCTGCCAGCTCAGCTCAGAGCCTGCCCTGGACCAGGCTGGTCAACAAGGGACTTTTCATCTCTCCTCTGAGAGCACAGGAAGCTGTTCCACAGGGAGCTGGGCATTCATGCCAACCCTCTCCCAGGGCACCCATATCCTGAGCCTGTTGCTGTGAGCCCCTCCCGGGGCAGGCACCAGCCTTACCTGAAGATCTGTCCCCACAGATGGCACATATGTGCTTGGTGAAGGAGGCCATCGTTCCTGAGGGATGTGCTGGCACTTTGAGGACTCCATTGAGCCCCAGGGGTGGCTTAATGTCTTCTGTGCTGGTGACGGAGTTCATGGGCGAGTTGAGCTGTCAAGGCAGAAGCACAGGGCTCAGTGGGGACCAGGGACATGGGATATGGGGCTGGGGACATGGGGCTGGACAGACAAGCTTCCAGTGGGGACCAGCACCACTTAAAACACCCACCACAAAGCTGAACCTCTGGGTTCACGATTTGGGTGTACGAGTCCAGAGACCAAAGGAGCTCATCCACTGCCCTGGCACAAGAGCTGGGCACTCAGGAAAGATGATCTGCAGTGATGGCTCGTGGGAGAGCAGCTGGCTGGGAGCGAGTGCTTGCATGGATGATGAAGGCCAGGACACTTGAGCACATCCTTTCAGCATTATCTCTCCAAAGGAACGCTTCATGGTAAATAAATAGATCCCAGATGCAATGGGGCCTGGCTTTCCAGAACTGGCTCGGGTGGGACACATCTCTGCAACTTCCACATGCCTCTCCTTCCCTCCCCAGTGAACCTGGCCTCCAATAAGCAGAGAATGCAGTGGAAGCTGAGTGCTGGCACAGCACTGCTATGGAGTGAAGGATTCCTGGGCTGATTCCCCATCACCCCACGGAGCAGGGTAGGGCTCTTATCCCCCCTGTGTGCAAAGAGAAACTGAGGCAGGGAGTTGTAGGATTGACCCATCTATAAGGGAGACAAGCTCACAGAAACCCTAAGAGGGTCTGGGATGGATGGAGGAGCCAGACTCAGTCACCTCAAGGACAGAGTCCTCCTCTACTGGGACCACTGCACCAGGAACTGTCACAGAGCCACCATCACTGTCAAACTCCAAACTCAAGTTGGATACACAGGACTGTGCTTCAGTTTGCTGTGTTTCTCTACCTAATAGAGATCCTCAGCAATTGCACTTGGCACAGATTAATTCAGGGAAGTCCCAAGGCTTGTGATCTGTCAATTAGAGCAGAGCAGCCTCTCCTCCAGCTTTTAAGTCTCCAGGCTGGTGGGGAATACTTGGCAGGCAGATGACTAACAACCACAGAACAGAGCCAGGTAAACCCACCCTGGAGAAATGTGATGGATCTGCCTCCCTCTCCCACCCTGGTGTGCCAGCTGATGAATCAAAGGCAGCCAGGAGCGGGTGTCACCAAGGGATACACTCCTGGGCTTCAGCTGCTGTTCCATAGAGCAGAGAGGGGAGGGACAAGCGGGTCCCCAGGCAGAAGCCTCTCTCTTTGGGTCCCCAGGTACATGCTCTCACTGTGCTACCCTGGGAGCAGGAGCTGCCACTCAGGGTCACCACCTCCAGCAACTCCTCCCAGTGCACTCTGTGGGAAATGGAGCCCTTTCCCAGGTGCAGCTGGTGGTTATGGCTCGTGTCACGCTGCATCACTGCCCGTGGACACGTGGGACCGAGGGCAGAGGCCATGGCTGCCTGATGAAGATAAGCCTTTCATCACCGCTTCCCAAAGCCCCAGAAGTCCACAGAGTCCACCCAAGCAGCCCCCTGAGAGCATCAGCGGGATGGCGAGCAGAGCAAGACCAGCCCAGGAGGGATGGGGGGTCCCAGTGCATCAAGTGGTGGGCGCTGAGTCAGCCCCAGGCTGGGGTGGGGGAAGTCATCGGTTCCTCTCCCAGCGCCGGCCTGAAACCTCAGCAGAGGCACCACGTGCACCCCGCGGTTCCCACACCGCCCCGGCGCCTGCCCCGTGCCTTCCCCTCCCGGCTGGGGAGAGAAACCGGCAGCACGTGCAGGCAGGGAGGGGGCAGAGGGGGAGGCAGCAGCCCCTCGCCTTGGCACAGCACTTCTGCTCCGGGACAGGACGGCTCCAGCTCAGCAAGTGAGCGGGGACGCAGGAGGAATGAGTGCTTTCCTTCCCCAGTGATGCCAGAATCTCTTGGCACCTTCCCTTCCCTCTTCAGCTCATTGCACCAGGGACCGAATCCTGTCCCTTCTGGCAAGCAGAGCTTTATTCCTCCTCCCATCCGAAAAAAAAAAAAAAAAATCCCACCCTTTCCCCGGTCCCCCAGGCACCCTTACAAAGAGCATTGTGCAAAGGCAGACGGCGGCTCTGGAAAAGCCTAATCCCGTGTCTGATCTCTCCCCGCTCACCCCCGGGCGCCCCGAGCTGCTGCCAGCGATGCCTGGGGCGGCTGCGCCACACAGCCCTGCAAACTGCATGCAAAGTCCCTCCCTTACAGCACTCACTGAAAATCCTGCACTTTTTTTTTTTTCGTGTTTTCACAGAATTTTTAGGTAAGAGGGTTTAAATAATACGTTAAATCCCGGTAAGCTGCAGAGCTGCCTCGTCTAGACCCCCCCAGTCTGGCTGGGACCCTGCTCACTACTGCGAACTATTCCTGCCCCACACATCTCACCCATAGCCCAGCCCAGCACCAGCATCCCCTTCCCACAAGGACCTGGTGGCTCCCTGGGTGCTGAGATCCCATGGTGGGACATCCTGCCTCCTGCCCTGATTTTGGGGCTGCATTTGGAAACCATGCGGGATCCTGGGAAGCTCACAGTGCTGGAGGGAGGGCAGGGGGGAGCACTTGGAGCATCCTCCTGCACTGGGTCCTCAGTTCTGCAGAACCAGATGGGACAGGTAGAGCACTGAGTTTTTTGGGAGCCTGATGGTTCCTCCCCACCCTGGAGGAGCCGAGGTGGAGAGGCCCCACCCTGGGGACCCTCACCTCGCGCACCACGTGCCCTTCTGCTCTGCTGGCTTTCCAGAGGCGACGAGGCATGGCCTGATGGCAAGTGGCATCTGCCATCTGATGCAAACCACCTTCCATCAGTGCCATCCCTGCCCGGCGACGGGGGCCACACGCCTCATTACCCCGGCGCTCTGCCGGCCGGTGCAGCGGCGCAGGGGCCGCGCTCCCCTCCGCACCCTCCTCCTCCTGCTCTGCCGGCCCAGGTAGGCGCCTCTGCAGGGATGGGGACAGGGACCTAATGCGCCCAGACAGGGAACAGATGGCAGGAGCCATTAGGCTGAAGGCCTCCGAACTGTCACCTCGAGGAAAACCACTTAAGACAAGTCCCCGAACGGAGGATGGGCGTGCGCGCCGCGCCAGGGGCTGGAGCTGCGGCGCTGCCGGCGCACTCCCGGCACCATCCCACCGCGCTCTCGCTTCCCTTTCCCGCCCTGTAGCTGGGTTTCGTTTCAGTTCCCCCCGCCTGCCAGCCCCAAAGGCAAACTGCACCTTACAATCGACGCTGGGGGTGCGTCGCCCCTTCCCCGTCGTCTCCCCGGCTTGTGGCTCACCCCGTGTTGCCTCACATCCCCCTTCCCCTCCTTCCCCACCGCTCTGGCGCTGCTGCTGCTAATTTTGTTCCGACTGCCCGTTCCCAGGCGCCGTTTCAGTTCCCCTTCCCTCGGCCACGGGATGGGAGGCGATGTGTCCACCCCACTCACCCACAGGGGGGAGCAGGGTGCAGGTCTATGGGGGTCACGGGCTGGATCCTGCATGGGAGAATCCCATTCAAAGGCAAATCACTCTGTTGCCTCCCTGTCCAGCACTGGGATGCTGGATCCTGGGGAAGCTGCCTGCGGGTCCCTAGGGATTGGACTCAGCACAGCCCCACGCAGAAAGACCTGTTATCTCTGGGAATAAATCAAGCCAATATTTAAAAATAAAGGTGCTGGCAGGTGCTTGACTCCCAGAGAGGGCCTGGAATAAATAAACCCACAGCGAGTGGCAGGTGGTGGCCAATTCCTTAATCTGCCCTTTTACTAAACATATACCGTGCGAGCAGCCAGCAACAGGTGGCAGGGGCTGGCCAGCGCCCCAATCTGGCTATTTTTAAAAAGAGCTTATCTCTCCCTTGTTGGAGCGTTTTTTACATAATCTTCTGCCAGCAAAGGCCAATCTTTCCCCTGCAAGGAGAAACGGGCAGTGGGCAGGGGATCCCTGGGTGTGCACAAGTGACAGGACAAGTTGAAACGGCCCCTCAGTTTTTGGCAGGTTTAGATTGGCTAGTAGGGAAAATTTCTTCGCTGAAAGGGTCGTCAGGCATTTGGAACGGGCTGCACAGGGTGATTCCAGGAATCACCACCCCTGGAAGTGTTCAAAAGGTTTGTGGATGTGGCCCTTGGGGACACAGGTTTTGTGGTGGACTTGGTAATGCTGGGTTAATGATTGGATTTAACCATCTTAGAGGGCTTTTCCTACCTTAACAATTCTATGTTTCTATTGGGACCATGGGCTGGCCCCAGAGGGGATGTGCTGCTTCCCAGGGAGGGGACAGGACCACTCAGGTGATAATCTCAGGGTACAGACAGTGTTAGGGTGGCTCTGGCTCCTGACTGCAGGTGACCCAAGGGTGGTCACTGCTCTCCCTTCACCCCTCTTTTCCTGGGGATGAACAGGTGACCCATGGCCATATCCTGGCAGTGCTGGTCCCTCATAGCCCACCCAGGGCAGCCCACACAGGCAGCTCCAGCCAAACGAGCAGGATGTCTCCAGCTTAGTTTCCCCCTTGGGCTCCTGCTTTTAGGGCCTGTCTGGATGAGGAAACCCACGGCCGTGGCCTCTCCCCAGCTGAACAAGCAGCAGTGACATCCCCACCACTCACCTGTGGGCTGCTGGTGCCAAATCCCAGGCTGGGGGTGGAGGGGACGGACATTGAGTGCGGGCCCATGGGGGAGCTGATGACGGAGAAGGGGGGGCCCATGCCATTGATGGGCGAGCTCAGGGTGCTGATGGGCGAGTGCAGCTGGCCTGGGGAGCCCAGCGAGGAGCCGATGCCCGGCCCGATGGACGGGTGGAGGGATGGGGTGGCCATGGGCCCCCGGCTCGTGGGAGAGTTCAGGGATGTGGAATTGACTTGGTTGGAGAAATCTGGAAGAGAAGAAAGAGAGAAATGGGGTTGAGTCTCCCATGTGGGACAGGCTGTGACACATCACCACGGCAAGCCCCGAGATGCAGATCCCTGCTCCTTGCCCTGCCAAGGGGCTGCTTTTCATCCTCCCCCAAAATTCCCAATGCACCTCCATCTTTCCAAACCACCTGCTGTTGGAGTACCTACACAGGCATTAAGAGAGGTGCTGAGAGCATTTCCACCTTGAGACAGGCATCAGTGCCCTCCTCCACCTCACTCACACACTGTACCCTGGCTCTAAGCTCTGCTGGGGACTCAGCATCGCTGCTCCAGCTGATGCCATCCATGCCACAGGATAATTTGGATTTATCACAGGGCCAGGCCATGCATGGAGAACACGGAGTTGCAGCAGTGGTTCAGCAGCAAGAGCATGTCTGTGCATTATGTGGGGTGTGTGTGTGTGTGTCCATCCGCACACCAGCGCGCCACAAGGAAGGCTGTGTGCTCAAGGGTTGGACTGGATGATCTTGGAGGTCTTTTCCAACCTAAATGATCCCACAGCTCTGTGTGCTGGCCAGGAGGAACATGCCTGCCTGCTGTGTGGGGAGTGGGAGCAGCTCTGCAGGCACAGGACGGGCTGTGTCTGCCCCAGCGGCTCCGCCGTCCCGGGGGAGCGGAAGGAGGGGGCGGGAAGGGGGGGTGGGTTATAAATAGACTTCGATTCTCCCAAGAGGAGACATGGAGCCATTCCTGGCACATTTCCTCCTCATCCTGTCACGCTGCTTGCAAAACAATCCCGAGCGAGGAAGGGGCTGGCTCGTGGCCCCCGGGCGGGCTGCGAGCAGGAGCGGACGGAAGGCGGCAGGGGCGGATGGGCAGCGTGGATGGGGCCCCCCCAGCATCGCCACTGCTCTCCCTGACACCCACCAGGACCCCCCAGTTCACACCAGCAAACGTGGATCCAGAGAGCAGGACACACCAGCAAGACCACTCAGGCCAGGGGCCCTTCATGATGGGTCTGGGAGCCACTGCCTTTGACTACAGACCCCGAAGGGAACTAAATTATGGAAAATACTGCCTTCAGTCTGCTTGGAGTCAGCTGTCTCCCGAGGATTTTGGAGTAACTAGCACATGAATGTTACACAGTGGGAAACGTGCAACGTGCTGGCTGAACACACAGCAGCCCAGCCCCAGCAACCTTCCCCAGAGATCACCATCCCAGTGGGAAAACCCCAGGATGAGGAAGCGAAGGCTCAGCAAGGCAGCAATGCTTCTCTTGCAAAGACATGGAACCAGGATACCATCACTGCACCCAGAGTGCCATCACTGCCCCCAGCATCCCACTGCTGCCTCCAGAATCCCATCACTGCACTCAGAATCCCACTGCCACTTCCAGAGTCCTGTTGCTGCCTTCAGCATCCCATCACAGCCCCCAGCATCCCATCAGCATCCCTGGGCCGTGGTGGAAGGGAGCATCCCTGTCCCTGGGGGCCCGGCCTCGATGGGTTCTCACAGGATGTTGATATAAAACAACCTCGGGCCACCACGTCACCCCCTGGCTGAGTGACGTGCGGGCGGCACAACAGGAACCCCAGGAAATTCCTTGAGGCTCTGGGGTCTGCTCCGGGGGTTTAGCACAGTGGGATTGTGCTTCTCAGCTCTCTGCTCTTGGTGTTTTTAAAGGGCTGGGAGGAGGAGCAGGGCTGGGAGCTGGGATGTGTTCTGGAGAGCCCCCACTGCTATCTCAGCAGGGGGAAAGGCAGGAGGTCATTCCGGAGCAGAGCGTGCCTGGTTAGGGGGTCCCAGCCAGGCTTGAAGGACCCCAGAAACGCCCACAGGCGAGGTGATGGATGGACACCTTCCAAGGAGGCACCAGATCCCCAGCCAGGGGAAACAGGCACTTGACCCGCCGGCAAAGGGAAGGCAGCGAAGCCCAGTCTTTCCTTTTTAAAGATCCTGAATATTTAAGGCAGGAGAGGTCACAGGCAGGTTACTGGCGACCAGCCCACGCCTACTTAAGCACATCAGAAAGCAAAGCACGTGTGGGGCCGGCACCTCTCCTGAAATCCCCATCCCCGGGGTACCACAGGAGCTCCCCATCCCTGCACATCCCATGCCACCAGGTCAGCTCCCCTCATCCACCCTGTTTACACACGGATGTGATCCCCAGCACCCGGCACCCAGTCGTGAACTGGGGGTGTGTGGGAGGATGGTCCAGAGAGAATAATTCAGGCAACAACAAAAAGGAAAGGAGAGGACTAACTGAGCATGGAACAGGGAGATGTGGGTGCTGGCACGGACAGATTTGGGTGTGTTTTCACCCAAACCCCTTGGCCACATGCTCTGAAATCTGAACCAGACCTGAACTCCTTCAGAGCCCAGCTCAAGCAACCCCCTGGACACTGGGATGTTTCCACTTTCCCCCTCCAACACCCTGCTGGAATAGCTGCAGCAGTGGGAAATGTTTTACCTCCAAACAACAAGCAAACATGGAAAAGGGTTTGGGTTTTTTTCCTTAGCAAAATCAAGAGTCCACTTCAGGCAACTCAGGGCAGATGCTGCCAGCCCCTGGCTCAAGGGGGAGTGTTCCCAGCAGGAAGATGAGTTTGGAGATAATAATGACTCAGAGGTGGGGAGATGGGGACTGGGAGCAGGACATGAGGAGTCCACCCTCCTCCCTCATCACAAATATCCTAGAGGACCCTGAATGCAAAAGGAATGCTTTAAAAAAGGAAAAAAAGCCTAGACCGAGGAAAAACCCTAAATAGAAACAAATTCCCAAACTGATGAATACCACTTGGACTGCAGCAAACACAGGAGGCATTTTTCCCAAATGCACTTTCAGTTCAAGTAGTGTGGGACTATTCCTTTTCCTTGTGGAGTTTTGCCTTTTAAAGAGGTTGTGTGTGACTATCTCTTGATTAAAATAAACTCTGCGCCTGTTTCTAAATTAAAAAAAAAAAAAGAAAAGAAAAAAAAGTTCTGAAAGCATTTCCCTTCTGTCACACCCATCAACTGCAGCTATTTTCTCTGTGTGTCCTTTTGTTTAAGCACAACGACCTCTATATACCCCAGAAGATGCCCCATGGCAATTGGGAGATCAGAAACCAGAGCTCGTCAGCAGCCGAAGAATTTGCAATGAAGCTCTTTTTCTTCCTCTAAACTACGGACCCGCCAGCCACAAAATTTGGATGGGAATTTTTCCCAAAGAATATGCCATTCAGGGCAGGGCCACATGATCCATCTCGCAGGGATGGTGCTCCGTGGTTGCACAGAGCCACGTGCGTGATCCCGGCACAGGAACCACCACACTGACACCAGAGCCAGAGGGTTCTGATCTGGCCTCCAGATAAGGAGCCTGAGCCTTGTTTTTTCTGGCACAGCGTGCTCCTCCCTGCCCTTTCCCTCAGGAAATACCTGTCTTTCCAAGATCCCTTCAGGATTCCACCATCCCAGGTGGGGAAACTGAGGCACGGGGAGAGCAATGCCCCTGAGGAGGCAGGAGCCCTTCTAGCAGACAACGATGAAAAAATTTGATTTTGGAGGTTGATGTGACCTTCACCAAGGTCACACAGGAAATGGGAGCCAAAGCTGGGAATAGATCCTGGCTACTGCAAGATCCAGGGTAGCATCTCAACTGCTGAATCAACCATCCCTGGGGTTCTTTTTCCCTCTGTGACAGACAGAATTTACTATTATCATCACCATAGGAAGAAAAAGCATGAGGATATTATTAATAATTTTCAATAAGGGAAAAAAAAAACCCCATCTTCATAAAACATTTGTCCCCATTTTCATCCAGCTGCATCAGACCACTGCAGCCAAGAACCCAATGTCCCTGGGCAGCTCCACTGCTATTTTCCACTCCCTTGGCATTCTTGGGGCCAAGAGCACAAATCTCCAGTTTGGACCCAGCAAACATGGATGGCTGGACGCATCCCAGATGGGCAGGTCAGACCCTCTGGGAGCTGCGGTCGCTGGAAGCATCCGGAATGCCACCAGCCCTTGCAATCCTTCCCTGTGGCATTTTGTCACCCACTGCACGGGACTCCAAGCGCTGCTGCTTGGCCAGGGCACGTCTGCAGCAGCTAAACCAGCTCTTGCTGATCCGGCAGTATCACGAAGGGCTGTGATTTTAACATTTCTAGACCCAAAGCAGAAACAATTCCAACAGCGCAGAGGTGCCTTTTTTTTTTTTTTTTTTCCCCAGGATAGCTCATTTGTACCGGAATAAACTGTACCAAGCATAAGCTTTCGCCAGAATAATCTTCATTTATGCTTAAGAGGCTTTGCCAGTAAAACTACAGTGACCTAGCTCTGCTGGAAAACCTTTTCTGGCATATCCAGGGAGTTTCCTCAGCAGCTCGGTGCCTCGGCAGTCGGCTTCTGTGAGAGGGGAAGTCAAAAAAAAAAACATATTTCAAGGCACAAACAGGGCTCCCCAAGTCGTGTTTTTCTGCAGCTGAGTAGAGCTGCAGCTCCAGGACACAGCCCACAGCCCATCTGGGTGGGTTCAGAGGGGTCTGCAGGCACTCCAGGGCTTGGTGGGAACACAAAATGGGAACACTTCATGTGCCCATCTCCGATACCAGCCGAGATTTGGAAAGTCATCCACAACCCCTGGCTTCCGCCTTTTTTTTTTTTTCCCCTCAGCACCTCTTCCTCCTTAATAAGAAAGCGAATCAATTCTGAGTATTAAACAGCAGGAAATTCTAAATTTGGGTTGCCACTCCCTTCCTTAAGTCAGCCCTCCCCGTTAGGGCTTTGCAGCGCTGTGGGGCCAGGCTGGGAGGGGAGTGGGACCAGGAGCTGACATCAGGCTTCTGGAAACCTCCTCCTCTGCTCTCAAGAGTCACTTTGGTGGTGACCAGGTTCCAAACTGACACCCAAATACACCCAAATGGGATCTGGAGGTAAACACAGCACCCCGAGCCACATGGGCACTGTTCCTTTTCTGGTGACTCCAAACCTAAATGAACTCGGTAGTGAAAAATCACTGTCCTTTTGCTCTCATTCCTCA